CCTGAGGTTCATCTGCCGGGGCCAAGCACGCTTGGACGGTGGCAGCGAGGTCCTCAGGACGTAGATGGATTGCCTTACGGGCTAACGAGCTCCATCTGCCCGGGGAGGGGCCCCGACCGGGAATCGAACCCGGGTCTCTGCAGTGACAGTGCAGTGAATTTTCCCCTGGACCACCGGGGGCTCCCATTTTTTAAAGCAGTCTTATTCTCCTTGCTGCCTTCATGTAAACCTAGGGGATAACTCTGACTATCCATAGTTGGTGATTCTGACTGAAATAGTTGTTTTGTTGACTGTTACTTGTGGTTTTGTTTTTCCAGTCCTATGAAAGAGACTATGCCTAGGTATGCCTACCCTTTGTAGGGACAAGAGATTTCCTTAGGGATTATCCATAGGGATTCAAAAATATGCCACGGATGTTTTCTCAAGAAACTTAATTTGAGAAGATAAGAATGTAATTGAACACACTTTTTTTTTTTTTTTTTTAATAGCTTTTGAGATGCTTGTGATATGGTTTTTGGTGCTTAAACTAAAATAAAAAAAATCTGAAATTTTGCAGAAGACTGATCATAGAATCATAGAATTAACTGGGTTGGAAGAGATCTCCAAGATCATCAAGTCCAACCCTTGATCTAACTCCACTGTGATTACCAGATCATGGCACTCAGTGCCACATCCAGCCTCATCTTAAAAACCTCCAGGGATGGTGAATCCACCACCTCTCTGGGCAGGCCATTCCAATGCCTGATCACTCTCTCTGTAAAGAACTTCTTTCTAATACCAACCTAAACCTCCCCTGGCAGAGCTTAAGCCTGTGCCCTCTTGTCCTGATGGAGTAACTCTGTGTTTGATTCGGAGAAGTAGCATTACATTTATCCCATCTGATGGTGTGTCTTTTTGTTCATGATTCCATGATACCTGTAATATTCTTTTAATGTGACTGTAGGAAAGTATGCAAAATTGTTTTAAAGCCTACAGGAAGAGTTGCATGTATATTACTTTATGAACCTTTTGGCTCATCTGGACAATGAAGTGTGATGAAAAAAATCATAAATTATTTGAAAAGACTGGTAAGAGACTTTTAGAACAAATAGTTTTGTAAGATTTTGAAAAGATCTTGGAGAATCTCACCTCTTGGCAGTACTATAAATGAGTTATACAGTTTAATAACAACAAAATAGAGATTGGAATTTTTGGGCCAGTAAGGAATACTGAAAGGTTAAACAGACTTGAGAAGAGTGAAATAAATAAAACTAATTTCTGAAATGCTGAGTAGAGGTCTCATCCATGATGATGTAATACAGCTAAGTTAAATGTTCTTTGAAACACTGTCTTTATGGATTCTGCCTTTTGATTTTTTTAAGAGAAGATGGTTGTTCATAAGGAATTTAATGTGAATCATAATCAATGGGAAAAGCATGTAATGAATGAACTAGATGGGGCCATTTGTGAGGGTCTCCAGAGACGGGAGAAGTGATGTGTAGCAGATAAACATGGGATTAACATTTAGCAGAGGGAAGAGTCCAACATCCTGAATTGTTACTAATAAGCCCTAATGAGTGAACATCAGCCATCCTTTGTGTTGAAAAAGGCAGGCAATTTACTAATTAAAAATAATTCATAAGGTGGCTTCTCTTTATGTATTCTACCTGTAAAATATACAAGTCAAGCTTGGAGGCAGAGTAGCAAAGTGATCCTTTATAAGGAAGATTTTAGAGTTTATTATCTTAATACTTAACTTTAAAAGTGTTGTTTTGCTCCCTTCCATCTTTGTGTGTACACATGTAAGAGAAGAAACAAACAGCTTTTTGGAAAGACTCAGCATTAAGTAATGGAAATAGAAGATATTGCCAATTCTCCCATGGCTCCAGCTCCTATTAACAGATACAGCATGCAATGTACAGTACTTTAAAGCCTGAATGGATACTATGTTCAGCTGACACTATGAAAATGAGATGAACATAGGTAGAATGCACTACTCTTATTTATTTTCTACATGAGGGACTTCTTGTTCTCATCGTGCTTTTTATACACTAAAGTCACAAGATATTAGCGAAGCAGAGTTTCTTTTCCCTAACTGTGCAGTATAAATGGAAATTGTGGGCAAATCTCCTAATCTCCATAGTGAGAGCAGAACATTTATCTAATTAGCAGTTTGCCCTTTGGCATTACTTTGAATAAATTAGCATTTCATTATATACCCTGAACTACTGGGAAAAAGTTTCCCAGAGTAGTATTTAGTTTTTCTTATCTAAAGAATGTATTTTAAATTAGTATTGGTTAATAATATTCTTTGTAACTGGAAAGAGACAGAGTAGCAATAGTATTGTTATTCTTAATATCAGGGGCTTGTGCTTGCAGGTTTTTTTGCTTTCTTTAATCCCCAGGAATCAGAATAAAAACTTATGTCACCTTACTTAATGACTTTCCTGGGGAAGGTGGGGGTGAGGAAAGGAAAGCAAAAAAATGGACAAGTTTGAAATACAACTTGACCTCCTCTCTCCTTCTTCAGGGAATGAACTTTTCTTTCAGATTGCGAACAGTGCAAAGCATAGTGGTGTGGACTAATCCAAAAGTTGCACTCTATCACTAATGATAAATGAGCTTTTCTACAGTATTTCCAATATAACTAATCCAGAATACACTGTCTTCTTTTCTTGCATGTATAAATCAGTGACAGGAAACTGAGTGACTAAGTTTAGGTATTGACTGTCAGATAAGAAGAGTGACTGCTTACTATGCTTTTCCTGGACAGCTTACTGGGAATCAAAAGTTTGATGGGAAGTTAAAAGAGGTAATTCATCAAGGATAGTTTTTAATTGATTTTCTTTCTAAGTGTTCAAAAGAGCAGAAAGAAAAATCCATGGATGTGATAAAGGCTTGTAATTTCCTTTCGCTGAGTCACTGGCTGTTTCAGACCCTTGCTTACCCCTTCAGAGTGTCATTTTCTCCCCTTCCCAAAGTGGCCTTTGCAGTAGGGATGTATGGTTACACCACCATTGCCGTGGTTGCCTTTTTGTAGATGGAGGCATGCAGAGAACCTGTCAGTTTGTTTTTGCTAAATCCAGAGGAATGAAATATCTTCATTCTGGGTTCTTTGATCATGGATCAATTTACATGACACTGAGCCTGCTGGCAACAGACAGGGTACACCTGTCTCAAAGGGCAAAAAGGATCTTTGCACATCTTAGCAAGCCTCACTCACCGGGAGAGCTTTAAACAAGATTTTTAGGGGGAAGGGGATAAAATCATGATCACTGAAGAGAAGCCTGGAGGTGGCTTGCTGCTGTTTGAGAGACAGTGTGCTAGTGAGGTCCTTTGGTCTGTTGTCTTGTTAGAGGTAGGGGATGGAGATCATATGGCAGCAAGGATGCAAAGTTATTGATGTGCTAAAAACTACAGAAGTGCCTGAGAGTGGTCGGGCAGGAACTAGAGCTTCTCCCCCTGAAAAGGTAGCGGGATTGATTACCCATCTGAAGTGCATCTACACCAATGCACACAGCATGGACAACAAACAGAAGGAACTGGAAACAGGAAAACTGTGACAGTTGCCACCACAGAGACTTGTTGGGGCGAGTCACACAACTGAAGTGCTGCAGTGGATGGCTATAAACTCTTCAGAAGGGGGGGCAATGGGGTAGCTCTGTATCTTAGTGAGTGTCTTGATCTTAATGGTAATGTTCAGTGTTTATGGATAAGAATCAGTGGGAGGGCCAACAGGGCAGGTATCCCAGTAGGAGTCTGTTATAGACAACCCAACCAGGATGAAGAGGAGGACTAAATATTCTATAAGCAAGTGGGAGTAGTCGTATGATCGCTGGCCCTGATTCTTGTGTGATGAGCTCCATGCAAAAAAAGACCTAGAAAATTTCTTTACTAACTTTGGTAAAGTCTGGCCTCCTCCATGCAACCTCTGAGGCCAGTTGGAGTCTGACCCTAAAAGCAGAATGCCAGAAATATGTATGTCTTGGTTGACTGTACTCCCCCTTGCTGCAGGACCCCAAAGTTTGCCTGCCACATTTTGCAGTGTCCCTTGGCTGTATCCTTCCTCATAGGGCAAATTCAGTATCTCACAAAAAAGCTCCTTGTTCCTTCTACTGTCATCTGGAGGCCTTGAACTGTACTTATAAATGTACTGTGTGAACAAAGAACAGTCATTCATATCCTAGATATACATTTTAATTAATTTCTCTTTCTGTATAGCATTTTAAAGGCACTGTGCTAAACCCCTTCTATTCTCTTCCTGTATGTTGAAATAAATTTTTCTGTGTTTTTTAGTTGGTTTGATATAGTTGTGACCAAGCGTGGTTTAGTGAACATGGACATGGGATTACGTAAATTGCCAAACAGCACCCATTTTTCTTATCTGCTTGCAACATATAGTTTGTTTTAGGGAGGTTTTTTTGGGGACCCAGAAAATGGAAATGTAATGTTAGAGAATGACTACTGTAATCTAATGGTCTGGATTTTGTTCTACAGCTTGATGACTGCACCCTTCAATTGTCTCACAACGGTACCTATCTGGATCTAGAATCTACCCTAGCAGAACAAAGAGATGAATTAGAAGGCTTCCAGGAGGATGCTGGGTAAGTAAATATTTACTATATTTAGATAAATAAACATTGAGGTTTCAGGAGAGTGTGTTCAGATAAGCATAGGAACAGAAAACATAAAAAGACAAAGATCTTTGTATGCCCATATGTCTGCCCATTTGTATGAATAAGAATTTTATACCTCTCTATCTATATTCACTCTTACACTTTCTCTAAAAGAAGATGGCATACTGTAGAGAAATCTATTAATATGAATGTTTTCAATAGTCTAGTAAGATTTTATATTTATTTGGAACTTGATAAATGAGGATGGCTGGTTCTGAGAACTCTCAGATCTATCTTACAGTAGTAGTCAGTGTAGAGGTTTATATTGGGGTGGTGCTTCTGAAGTTATGGAGTCAATGTCTTTGTACCTTGATATTTAAGTCCATCATTTATATTTTTGAAGAAAAAACCTGTATTGATTTTTTTTTTTTTTCATTCCTGGAATTAATTTAGCCGGCCCAGGGAATGGGGGTGCATGTTGTTTTTGAATATTCTCCTCTCTTGGATTTTTTTTTATTGATGATTGCTGGCCCACATGGACTGCTGTGACACATCTTTCCATTATCATCTGAGAACTGAAAGTGAAAGCAGAAGTTAGCTTCAGTGTGCATTTGTATGAATGAATATATAAAATTTGGTTTTTTTGGAGAATTTTCTTTTTCTGGACCTTTCTGGTGGTTATCTTGGTTAAGATGTAAAATGAACAGATTATCTGGATCTATTTTTACCTTGCTGGTTATTATATTGGACTGGATAGTTGGAATTATTTTATAGGTGTGTTTGGCGTAAATTTCACACATGTGAGTAATGTAGCTACTCCGGAAGAAAATTCATAAAATCATAGAATTACAGAATATGTGGAAATGGAAGGGACCTCTCAGGATCACCGAGCCCAACTTCTGACCCTGCACAGAACACTCCAAGAATCCCACCGTGTGTCTGAGAGCATTGTCTAAATGCTTCTTGAACTCAGACAGGCTTGGTCCTGTGACCACTTCCCTGGAGAGCCTATTCCAATGTCCAAAAACCCTCTGGGTGAAAAACGTTTTCCTGATAATTAACTGCATATTGAATTGCCAGGGCTTGTTAACAGACATCCAGTTCTTTTGCTTATACTGCTTTGTCTACTTTTTCTGATAGCTGTCTTGCCTTTGATGAATAATTCTTACACACTTAAACTGTGACTCTGAAGATTGTTTGATGTAGAGAAGAATTTTAAATAATATTTTACAAATATTCATGTGTGTGCATTTGCTCATGTCTTATTGACATCTACCAGCTTGAGGCATGTTTTTATAACCATTGGAAAGTAAAAACTGTTCTGTTAGAAAACAGTTAGAAGAGAGTTCTTTGATAGAAAGGTAGCCAATAGAAGCTGAACTGAGCCTCCTTCTCCATGCAATATAGGAGTGTTGAGTGTAGAAGCTGATCTAGTCCTCAGTTTTATGCAGAGCTGGTAAAAATCACTGCAAAGAACAGCAAGTTCTAATTTCTAGCTAACCTTTTAATGAGTTCAAAACTAGTAAGATAAAGGAAAAATTTTGTTGGGATTTTTTTTTTTTAGCAATACGTTTAAGTCACATTTCTTTCCCTTTCATTGGTGTCTCTGATAATTCTAGTAATTTTTAAATTCATTACTTTTGACACCCCACAGTACCAATTTGGCATCACCAAGCAATTTGGCAAGGGAGAGACCACTTGGTGCTTTTCCTGCCAGACTTTGCACCTGAAATGGAAAGCTACCATCCACCTTGTTTTATTTTTATGCTTCTGTTGGGCATGTAAAATTAATGATAGGAATTGTTCCTGAAACGTGACTTGAATTTTCTCTGTGGTGGCCATCCTGTGAAAAAAAAAAGAAATAAAAGGTATGGAACTAAGTGTGCTGCTTGGAGTTGCATGTTTACTGTGTTGTTTTGAGCTCAAAAATCAGGATATACTTTTATGTACATGTGTGCAGAAGCTTCCTCTTAACTGTGCAATCTGTTGTCATTTGAGTAATTACTTCTTCTGGAGGCTTGTCCTGCTGAGTAATGTGAAGTCTGCCATGAGATCCTTCATTCCTGTGCAAAGGTGAAAAAGAGATTTGAAACTGTGTGCCTAACAAAAGCTTGGGCTACAAATAAATATTTTAATTATCTTTTGAAATTAGTTTTGCGAGATGAAAGAGAACAACTACTGTGTCTGTTGTTGTCATGTGCATAGCCCTCATCTTCACTGGTCTTTGCCCTGCTCTCTGAAGTTTTCCCTCTCCTTGGTAGTTGTGGGTCAATAGATTGTGCTCTTTTTCGACTGCCTGCTTTAGGTGGAACACCAGGACAGGCTGTGTTAGATGCTGCCATTATAGCAGTTGTGAACCATCTTTCTGTGGTGTCTTCCACTACAGCCCTCCTTCAGACCCTGCTTTCTTACCTTTGTAATAAATTACATAGACGGGGGGTTGCAAAGGCTGAAGTGGTGAAAATGGAAAGAAGGAAGAATGAAGGGGGGTGTTGGGAAGTAAATCAGCAAGTGAAACACATAGAAGCACAAAAAGGTGTGTCCTGCTGCAGGGGGAAGAAGGGAAGATTGCCCAGGGGAGATGCTACCTTCAGCACCTTCTCTGAGGTGCTTGTAGGTACAAGTGGTATATTTGCCTTGAATAATTCAAGCTTGTGCTAACCCAGTAGTATGGGGGTTAAGCTTTAACTTGATGGTTGTGAGGTTAACTTGAGGTTGAGGGTGTTTGGTTCTATCTCCCTGACATACACACACCTGGTAACTTGCATACTGGAGTCCCGAAATCCTAGCGCTTTGTTCTGCTGATGTGGGATGCAGGTCAGTGAAGTACAAAACCTTGCATTTAGGAGTAACTGGCTAAGGACAAGCAAGTACTGATCAGGCAGAAAATGAAGAAAGGGGGGCACCTGACTTGTCAACAGCATGACAGAAAACGATCGGACATTTCTGGGAACTGTGAGCTCAGAACAAATCAGTGAAAAAGTGCTGTGGAAAAGGTATAGGATCATCCTAGGGTGTAAAGCCGGAATTTATGAAGTGCAATGAACTTGGTCTCCTCAGTGGTGAGGATTCAACTGGATTTCTGCATCCCATTTTTGCCCTCGGTTTGTGAGAGAAATAAAAATAAACAAGAACTGCTGGAAATTTATTTGTGACTTAGTAACATTGTTTCTTCAGGGTAAATGCAACTCGTGATCTTATTCAGAAAAATTGAATATTCTAGTTATAGGGTAACAAATGCAGTCAGTAATGTCTTTCTGTATCCTATGTTTCTAGCAACCTAAACTCCATAAACTCAGTTTTTGGGCCTTGCAGTTGTGAGACCAAAGTGCTGAGCTGGAGGGTTCCAGAACTGGAGCTTCCGGCTGCAGGCCTTGGGAGCTTAGCAGCAGCACACTGTCTGGGAGGGACTGGCTGCAGAAACCACTTAGTCTCTCTCTTTTTCTGTCTGGGTCATTTCAAGGTCCTGCTCTTAATCTTCAAAGCTTTTAATTTTCTGAGATTAGGCTACCTCAGGACCTGCCTTTCTGACATACTGAAGCTGTTGTGTTCGTCAGGATCATTGAAGCTTGCTGAATTCTGAGTGAAGGCTTTAGTAGCTGGATATTCATGATATTTTTAAAATTTTAGAACCTCAACTGTGGAAACTCCTATTCAGAGTAACAGGAATGTCCTGCAATCTGGCTGTTTTCAGCATCTTTTTTGCCAAAAGTTCCTGTTTGCCCAGGGAAAAATGATTAAGATATTTATTTGTTTTTTAAACGCTATTGAAAGGAGACTTATGAGTAAAACAAAACAAGCAGAAAACATGTTCTTAAAAATTTGTATTGGTTTGAGAGGCTGCGGGTATTTATTTTCTCTGTGAAGGATTGGATGAGCATAGTGAAAAACATGAATTTTTTTTCAAAAGGAAAGAAAAGGATGGTAGCAATTAGGCTGAAGGTTTAATGTGTATCTGTAAATAACCGGTATAAGAAACACATGTACTCATGCAATTTAAAAGTAATTATTTTCTGTTACTGAATATAGAGAAAAGAGGCATTTGGTAGTTGCCATCTACTTCCAGCAGAATCTAAACTTCTGTTTAAGGAAGGAGAAAACCCTACACACATGTCCCCATAGCCTGTAGGGCTAACTCTGGGAGTAAAATGGGTGGGGATTGAACTGCTTTCCTGACTCCACAACTTTGGTACTGCCATTTA